TGCTTTAAGGGTGAAGGAAATGGTTTATTTAGTGGTACTTAGAAGGTTAGTTAGTTCATGTCTGACACTATTTTCATCACATAAAGTACGTGCTAAATATGGTATAGTGGAATTTTTATACTTATACGTGCATCAAGTCTTCTGAGAAGACTTCTGGTTTTATCTGAGGAGACACAAAGTTGGAGCTGCGGGTGCTGTGATGGATGGTCACAGTCTGACAAAAAAATCAAGTGCCTATCAATGACGATGTCAACGATATGGCCCAATGGGATACCACTCGTCCTACTGACAGTCTTCAGAGTTCTACGAAGTATGACATAGTCCTTTTTTAGCAATCCAGGAAAGAATAATGGTGAACAGTAAGGAAGAATAGGTAAAATACACGAGTTGATAAACTGTAAGAGGAGTGGTTGAGTTATGCCTGAGTGCCTTAACTTCTTAATGTAAAAAGTCAAACGAAATATTCTTTTAGAAATCGCTAAGACATGAGAAGACCAAGATAGGTCAGAAGAGAGAACTAATCCAAGATACTTAACTTTAGACTTGCTTTCTATATCGGTATCATCGATTTTGCAAGGGTCATAGGAACCAACGGCTTCATTTAACTTTCGTTTACATCGGAAACTGAAATTGACAGTCTGACATTTGGAAGGATTAAGTTTAAGGCCGTTAGACGAAGACCATTTGCTAATTCCTGATAGAAAGCTGTTCATCTTAATACAGTCAAGCTGAGTTATGATTTACGTTGAAAGTTCTGCTGTTCTAGACAATAAGTAAACTGTGGGATTCAAAAAGATATGCAATCACGGAAGTATGTGAGTTTGAGAAGCGTTGTGAGTCATTGGATGACTGTTTACTGGCACTGTTTTCGGAGTACTCGATGATTCAAGTGTAAAAGCACTAGAGAGAATGAACTCGTTGAAATTAAGTGATGAGTTGTTTTATTTGAAACCAGTCGTTCGCAAATTACACAGTTAGAAACATTTATTTCCCGAAACGAATTTAAAACAAGCAATAAAGGTTAATAAAGCAGGATTGAATGATGAAGTCATCAAATTTCGGTAGAACTCGTCAGCTGAATACTCTACATACGCGGATATACATACTTTTGAAATTACATTGGGAGATATAGGACTGATAAGTAAACAAACTACATTGAATTAGTCATGCAGAAAGACAGGTGCGAATGTTTTTCCAGGTCATGTTCAATTAGATAAGGGAAGAGAGAATGGAAGATCAAAATTAAGATAAATTGCATTACGCTTCAATTACATCACTTAGATAAACAATTAGACACTAGAGAATATAACAAGAATTGCAACCAGAGGGATGTCAATAGTAATAGTTATAATAACATAATAATAATAATAATAGTGTTGAAGTGAGTTAAGATAATCCTACTGATAAAGGATAGTTTTAAATGAATCAAGAATAATATTAATGAGAATAATAATAATAAGAGGTAGAATTATAAGTAAAACGTATTACCATGGTAGATTCAGAGTCACGACCATCTCCTTTTGTACACAAAGACCTGGTTTATAAACTCGAATTGCACAAGCCTCCACAGTTGCAAGCATCTTCTTGTTTCTTTGTCTGCTGACAATAGTGAATGACTTGACCGCGTCGATATCATGTCCGTAATCCACAAGATGTTTTGTTATTGAGGATTTTGGCACTTTGCACTCAGCTGTTTTCAACCATTTTGGCAAATGCTCCATCATGCGAGTAGACAATCGGCTTTCTGCATGACCTATGTATTTGCTTCCACAAACACACTCAAATTGATATATACGCAGTTTGAAGTGTTGAGGATTGGCGAGTACTGATCTTTCCCAGATTGTTGAAGCACTCGCTTAGTGGTGTTAAGGAAAACAAGTTTTACAGCATAATAAGTTCTCCTGATGGCTTTGTCGAGTCTTCGTTTGACTACTTCCTGTACATCATGTCCTTTGAACGGCAAACTGATATAGACAGGTTTCTTCGGAACTGTTTGGATTGTTTTGCAGGGGCTGTTTTCTTTAGAGTATTTATTAATGAACTTCCCAGTATATCCATTCTTAGATAAGATATCCTTCAGGGATTTTATTTCACGCTCAACAGTACTGTCAGAACAAATTTTCTAAATATAGATCTTTCGATTGTGCCATCATTCATTTTCGCCAGAAAAACGTCTAGGAATTTAATAGTATGGTTTTCCTCGTGTTCTACTGTGAATCTGAGATTTGGATGGCATGAATTGAATTTTATCAGCATGTCTTCGGCCTTTGATCTGCTTTCACAGGCAATGAGAATGTCATCAACATATCTTAGATATACATCCGTTTCTTGTATATGTTGCTGCAAGGTACCGGTTTCTAGGCGTGACAAGAATAATTCAGCGAAAAGTGATCCCAAAGGGCTTCCCATTGCGACACCATCAACTTGTCGGAATAGACGCCCGTCGAATTGGAATTGGACATTTTTAGTACATAAAAGTAGCAATTTCTTCAATTCCGACGTTGGAATGGGTGTGTCTTCAGCTTCTTTACATATGAAGTCGATAGTCTCAATGACTGGCACATTTGTGAAGAGGGAGGTAACATCGAAAGAGACCAGTCCTATATCTCCCAATGTAATTTCAAAAGTATATATATCCGTGTATGTAGAGTATTCAGCTGACGAGTTCTACCGAAATTTGATGAATTCATTAAATCCTGCTTTATTAACCTTTATTGCTTGTTTTAAATTACACAGTTAGTTTGAATAGAATTGTAAAGGCTGAAATGTTGTCAATCTTGTGCTACATATCCACTAGGTGAGCCAAGGTGGAACTCCTGATTGACTGTATGACAGCTTTTGTAAACCACGTTGGACAATGCTCAAGAAGTCGACGGTGGGCTAGATGAGTCATTCTATCTATGAAGCTGTCAGCACAAGAACAGTGAAATTTCTAAATGCACATTGAAGTGTCCAGAATCGTTAGTTTATTCTTCAACTGCACTGGAATGATTCAATGAGTGATGGATTGTAGACACAGTGTTGAGAAAAAAAATGTTTCAATGATTTTCTGATTTGTGATGCTAGTAAATCAGTGCCTGATAGGGAATAGTACATTGTTTATAGAGGAAATGCCCCCACTGATTTACTTATAATAGTCGGTGTCACTCAGGCTACTGTTATTTTTCATTTTCCGTTTTGCTTCTTATTACAAGACTTACTTCATCACTCTGACAAGGTCAATATCGTCAAGTTATCCGATGATCTGACTATTTCCATTGCCTATTAATTCCTAATCAGACTGTTCCAGAATGAATAGCATTTTATCAGAAAGTGGTTTGTCGTCCTCTGTCGAATGCTGCAAAGCTAAATCCCTCCAAATGTCAGACTGTTCATTTCACCTTCAGACACTAACGTGGTTTACATGCACTGGTTCAGTCTCCTGATCCTTCTACCTAGTGGAAGCCACTGAAATTAAAACCAAGTGGCATGTTAAGTAGTGAAGATTACGTCTTTCCTCTGATCTTTCAAAGTCTTCCCACATTATGCTTATTGGTAGAAAGATATTCTGAGTAGTCGCCTACGAAAGGAAGGTAAGGTAACAACAGAAGACGAGAGCCCGGCAACAGATTGTTTATTGAGAAAATCAAGAGGTATTTATAGATTTTTATGTTCATTATTATTAGCGTTATTGTTAGCAGAGGAACAACGTCTTCTGATTGGTTGTCTTCTTGCTGAAGGTTATTCTGCCATCTCTTTGTGGCCGTTTCTTAGAAAGTCAGGCCACATATCTGCGAATCGTATTTGCACACGTTGTGTTCCCTGTGATTGGTTGGTGAGTTCCTCAAGTTTAAGCGTTGTCATCGTTTTTCTGATAACCGTGATTCCTGATGTAATACTGACGTAAATTGTTGTTTACAGTTTTGGCTTGTTCGAGGTTAGCTCTCACCACAGTATTACTTAGTCTTTGCTCTTACCCGAGATTTGAATACATTACGCGGACGACACATTTGTTATAATCAAAAGAAACGAGCTGGATAAAACTCACAACTTAATAAACAACGTCTTTAACGACATCGAATTCACAAAAGAAGAGGAATGCGAGAATAAAATCCCATTTTTGGACATCTTAGTCAAGCGAACAACCACAGGGGAATTAGAAACTCAAGTTTATAGAAAATCAACTCACTCAGATCAAATACTGAATTAAAACAGCAACAATCCAATAACACACAAAAGGAATTGTATACAAACACTATACAAGAGGGCCAGGACTCATTGCAGCACTCCCACCTAAAGGAAAATTGAAGAGAGATATCTCATGGACGTCTTCCAAAAGAATGGATATCCACGGAATTTCATCAAAAGACATATACCCCCAAGCTAACCTATCAAACCAAAAGCCCCCAAGGAAGGCACAAAGAAATTCGCCTTGCGATATATAAAGGATATATCAGAAATCACCACAAGACTCGTCAAACCTTTAGGAATAGACGTCGCA